TGTGTGTGTGTGTGTGTGTGTGTGTGTGTGTGTGTGTGTGTGTGTGTGTGTGTGTGTGTGTGTGTGTGTGTGCGTGTGTGGGTGCCGTTTCTGCGCACTGCACACAAGATTCCTTGTTTCGGGATGTTCACTCCTCCTTGGCGATGTGTGGGCGCACGCCATGGCTCTTTCTGCAGGTGTGAAGAGCTTCGAGCAAGACGTGATGATGGCTGGCGCCGTGATCACCGTCCAGATCCGGTACGTGACCACTTGATCTACTCAACACAGCTGCTCGGCAACGACGCGTGACACTCGTCTGCATTCCATCCACTCACCTCACGATCACATTCACGATCACATTCACACACACACATACACACACACACACACACACACACACACACACACACACGCACACGCACACATGACCGCAGGTACGACTGCAACCTGGACAAGAACGTCGAGACGTGTGCACCAGAGTACCGCTTCACGCGTATTGATGAGCCAAACAACACCGTACGTCCACGCACGAGGGCACATGTGTGCATGTGTGTGTGAATGTGTTTGCCACGTCACATCATAGTAGCTCTTGCCCGGGTTGTTTTCAACACCATATTTCACCGACTTAACTTCTGCGCGTGTCATGTCACATCACATCAAACAATGCAGCTGTCCAACGGCTTCAACTTCCGGTTTGCACGTTACGCAATTGGCGAAGTCCCAAGCCGTGATCTCTACAAAGTTTACGGTGCGGAACTCGGTATCTGCTCGTGTGTATTTGGCGTGTGTGCACGCGCTGTGTACGTCGTGGTGTGCATGTGTGCGTATGTGCGTATGTGTGTGTGTGCACTGCTCTGTTTTGATCTGGTTGTGCGTTTTGCTTGTTTTCCTTGCTTGTCCAACTCACCACGCTCCACAATCGCCTGTCCAGGTTTGAGATTTGTCTTCATCGTCAGTGGAACCGCCGGCAAATTCGACTTTGTTCCTCTTCTCGTCACCTTCGGTTCAGGTAGGCGCGCACATGGCTGTGTGTATGTGCGTGTGTGTGCGTGTGTGTGCGTGCTTGTGCGTGTATGTGCGTGTATGTGTGTGAATGTGTGTGAATGTGTGTGAATGTGTGTGAATGTGTGTGTATGCGTGTGTGTATGTGTGTGTATGCAGCACTGTACATCATTCTGTCTGTTGCACCACACAAACGCCATGGCTGCTCACACCGCCCATCATTGCCACCATCATCCCCAAGGTCTTGGCCTGCTCAGTCTCGCCACGATTGTTGCTGATCTGCTGGTAACCAAGTGCCTCAGGAACGCCGAGTTCTACTATGACCGCAAGTATGAGATTGTGAACGAGGACGAGGTGGAAGGAGAAGCAATCAACGTCACTATCAGGCAAAAGGTTTGTCGATGCATGACACTACGTGAATGAGAGATGAAGGAAAACATATTTGTATGTGAATGTGCAAGTGTACGCACATGTGCCAGTGTATGAATATACGGGCTCCTCCATGTGTGTATGTGCATGTGTGCATGTGTGTGTGTGTGCATGTGTGCGTGTGTGCGATACCATGCGCGCGCTGCATCTCCGTCTCTGCGCAATACGTAGCACTCACGTGGCCGTATGAACACCGTGTGCTGTCGCCATCACAGCCGGAGGAGGATACGCCCCTGCTGCACTGACGCCGCAACACGGCGCACCGCCTGCAGCTCATCCGTTTTCCGCACCTTCCCTCTTGTCGTTGTCCCCGCTTCATTTTCGCTTTTTCACCCTTCTCTCCCCCAATGTTCATACCCTCTTTCGATGTCAACCCCAGCTTGCCTCGACTTGCTCATCCTTATCTTGGCGCATGATTGTTCAGAAAGCCCCACACGTTTACTTTTCCCTCAAACACTCAGCAGACACACAGCAAACACACAGACACACATTACACGCACGCACGTAAGCACAACCAATCACAAGCAAGCAATGACGCCACGGCTGTTTGATTTCCTTCACGTGTGCCATTGCATTGTTATTCCCTCGCATAAACACACCCGCACGCTTGCATGTGCGCGTGTGCTCACAGATCCGCGGCCACATCCATTCCAGGTGCACCCGTTGTTGCTTCCCGCTGTTGCATGCGAGCCATCAACCCACACACAACACGTGAGCGTCAGTGCAGACGAATGCGATGGACAGCTGTAAACAGAAACTGTTGCAACCGGGCACGCATGGATTTCACACACACACACACACACGCACGCACACACACACACACACACACACACACACACACACACACACACACACACACACACACACACACACACACACACACACACACACACACTCTCTCTCTCTCTCTCTCTCTCTCTCTAAACACACACACACACACATACACACGAACAAACACGTGATCATGTAGACACACCTTGACGTCTTCCCAGCGCCTGAACAGCTCCCCAGAATTGTGGATGGTCGACAGCAGCGACGTGAACCCAGGCGACTTGTCTGAAGGCGGGTGGAAGAGGGGGGGGGGAGCACACGAGTGTGTCGCGTGCAGTTGTGTGAGTGAGTGAGTGAGTGTGTGTGTGTGTGTGTGTGTGTGCAAGTGTTGTTGCTGAGACAGCAAAATCGCCAGAAGCAGGGTGCGCGTGCTCTCACCGCTGCCTGGAAGGGCATTGAGGGCATACACGCAGGAAATGCACACGCGCTTGACTTCGTCCAGCTTGTCAATCTCCTGTTTCGTCGCCTTCTTCTCCGGCTGCTCAACAATGCGTGCACACATGCGTGTGCAAGGACACGCGGTCAGAACGCTGACTACAGACAAAGTACACAGCAGTCTTACCCACAAGCAAACAAAAGCAAGCCAGCACACACACCACACACACCACACACACCACACACACACGCGCGCACGCGCACGCACACACACACACACACACGCGCGCACGCACACACAGAGAGCACAGACACAGACACAGACACACCACACATCACACACACACCACAGTGCACACACACACACACACACCGCGTTTGTGAGGACGCTGCCGAGGACTTGTGCGATTTCGTCGAGTTTGGAGAGAAGCAGCTCCGGCACGCGCTTGCATGCCTTCATCAGAATCAGGTTGGACAGGATCTAACGATGCACGAACATGAACAGGCGCACAAACACATGTTGGCAGCGATGGTCAGCGATGTTGTCGTACTCTGACTTGGTGCACACATATGCTCTGCATGTACATTGACACACTAACATACACACACGCACGCACACACGCACACACAATGTACCTGAATGTCGTGGTCATCGGAGAGGCCTTGCAGGATGTGGCTGAGGAAGGTGGAGAACACAAGACGCTCTGGGCACGTCTCCAGGAGAAGATACAGGCACTCATACGCGGCCTGACGTCAAGAGCAACGCTTTGTGAGTCACGCACAACACGAACGAAGTGCAGCAAGGACGCAAAGACCCGACCGTTCAGACAAACAAACAAACAAACAAACAAAGGGGGGGGCGCACCTTGCGCGTGTCGGCACCGCGGTCGACCTTGTGCTTGAATGGGCCCATCTGGATGTCCTGGATGAGGTCTGGTCGCACGCGCGTCTCGCCATAGATCAGTTCCATCGCCTGGTCAAGCACATCTGCACACACGCACGCACAGGGACAACGTGTAAAAGGAGGAGGTGGTGGTGGTGTGTGTGTGAATGTGAGGGCCAAGGAGGCCATGCGGTGAAGAATACACAGCCATTTCAAGCACGGTTACATGCGTGACACTTGGGTGCACACACACGCACACGTATGTACACACACACACACATACGAACAGACACGAATGCACGCACGCACGTACACACACACACGTATGTACACACACACACACACACCATCTTCACCTCCACCCACGCACCGATGACGAGGGAAATGTGTCTGAGGAGGGCGGCCTTGAATGTACCGAGGGCAACGCGTCGCACGTCGTTGTTGTCGTCGCCAATCGCCAGCACAAACGGCGGCAGGATGCTGCGCAGCGCGCCTCGGTTCTCCTCCCCGCCCTTGTTCAGCAGGAAGCGCGCAACGTTCACCGCACACCCACGGACGCGCGGGTCGGCGTGCTTGAGGGCCTCTGTGAGGACTGCCATGTAGTGCGGCACGTCGAGCAGGCACACAATGGACATGGCTTCGGCGATCAGGTTGCGCACGCTCTCGCTGTCGTGGTCCATCAGCGCAGAGAGCGTTGGCCAGATGGTGCCCGCACACTGCCCCAGGCGATCGCGCCCCTCCGCCGTCTGCAGCAGCTCGTGCGTCGTCTGCTTCAGTGCCAGCACATACAGGTTCGCGTGCTCGCCCGCGTCGGCCCCCTGTGCACGCTGCTGCTCCTGCTCCTGTCGCACAGCCATCGCCAGCGTCTCCACGTACTGCGGCGACCCCGCTGCGAGCGACCCGAGCGTGTGCGCCACGCCGAGCTTGAAGTCGTCTGCCTCCGTCGCCAGCAGCGACTGGATGGCGCTAAACGCGTCGGGCTTGACTTGCGCCACGTCCATGCCCACGCCAAGCGCTGCGAGCGTGTAGAGGTGGTAGAGGCGCTCGTTGCCCTCCAAATGCCACACGGCATCAAAGGCGCGGGCAAACAGGCGCGCCTGCAGGGCCGGGTCGGCAGCCGCGGCACAGGCGGAGGCTTTGGCCAGGTAGCGAATCGCCTCCTTGCTCTGCTTCGGGTCAACGCACTGCGCGCGCAGCAGGCCCTCAATCTCCTCGTGGGGCACGCCCTTGGCCACCACCGTCCGCAGACACATGCACACGCCCGGCATACACGCGGCGTTCATGTTCTTTGCGCCCACCACGGCCGCCACCGCAGGCAGCAGGGTTGCCCGCACGGTGTGCAGCGTGCCCGGCTGCGCATTCACACACGCGGCGACGAGCGGCAGGGCGAGCGCCACCGCCTGCATGTCGCGTGGGGCAACAAGGGCTACAAGCTCGCCAAGCAGCCGCTGCACATCGCTCTCCGCAACAGCCGTCGGGTGGCGCGTGACGAGCGCCGTCAGCGCCTTGAGGCTGTTGTTGCGCAGGGAGGCGTTGGTGAGGCGCAGGTAGTCTGTGAGCATGCCGACCGCCATCACCGCCGAGGAGGACACGTCCACGCCCACGGCAGAGGAGCAGATGGTCTCCAGCGCAGCGACGGCGACGACGCGCGTCATGTCGTTGGTCAGCCGCGCCATGAGCACCTGCAGCAGGTCAGCGGCCGCAGAGGCGTCCAGCACATCGCCAAACCGCGCCAGCGTCTCGCCAACACAGATGATGCCCTTCTCCCGCACCTCGAGATCGGCGTCCCCGCTCGTAAACGGCGCCCGCACACCCTGCACAGGCAGGGAAAGAAGCGGTGATGGTGGTGGTAGTGTGTGTGTGTGTGTGAAGATTGGCTTGGGCAATTTCGTTGGTGTAGAGTGGAGATGATGGAGATGATCGAACCACCAAGCTGATTGTGTATGCGTGTGTACGCATGTGCACGCATACACACACGAGTGGACACGAACACAATGTTGTGTGTACCTCGAGGATGGTGAGCATCGCTGCCTGCTGCTGCTGTGTTGGGGTCTGATCTGGGGACGGGCGGAGCATGCGCACGAAGGAGGAGGCAACGCCAAGCGCACGCGACACCGTCTTGTAGAAGCTGTCAGAGACGCCCAG